TGTTGTTTTCATGAGGCAGCACTTTGTTGGATATCTGCTAAGGACCAGCTCAGAACCTTATCTGACCTGGAACTCTGGATTTTTCTAAGGTGGTTTCCTGAGTGGCTGCTGAGGACCGTCTCCCACCAGGATGCACTTTAACCCAACAGTCACTGCTTCCTCCAAACTAATGTATATGGAAATAATAAAACACAAAACGTTGAACTCTAGACTGAAAGTGGACGTAGAGTGACATTGTCAGTTTTTCGAAAACAAAATGACCCATCTTGCATCAGTCAGAACATTTTATTACATTACTGATCAGGTTAAGGGCGGATTCTGTATTTAATCATCCAGTAAAGTCACTTCAGTTCCTTCTGCTGCTGTTTATCCTTCACTGTGACACTTTTAGCTCTTTAGTATATCAATAAATCCCTTCAATGAGCTGCTCAAATGTTCTGGAAAAGAGCTGCACAACAAATCTGTCACTGCCAAAATCCATTCCTTATATTATCTGATATTTGCAGAGCTTCTGGTTTATAGTAAAACCTTGTGTGTTGCTTTTAATGCTAGATGCAGATTAAAGTTCTGCTGTTGGCTCATTGCCTCTTAGTAATGACTTTATTCACATTAGTGTTTGTGTAGGTTTGATGAAATAAAACACACAGCGGGTCCAAGAGTGCTCTGGATTATCTCGGGAACGCTGAGGATTCTGTACAAGACGCAGACAGCTGAGGACCAGCTCTGATTTCAGTAAGGAGTTGGAGGTCCACAGAAACAACATGCCTTCATATTGACATGATTGTTTAGATTTACTACCAAACTGAATTAAACATGTCGTTCCTGGTGTTGGTTTGTTCCCATCACCAACATAACCTCCATATAACATGTTTCACAACCTCTTAGAAGGTTGTTGTTCAGCATTCTGCAGCATTTATATATGAGAAATAGATGTAGTTGAGTTTAAAGTCAAGGATTTTCTCTGCAAATTACACCCACAGGACACCCTGAAACTTTTAATAGCTGCTTTTTATTTTATATCTGTTACTGAAGTGCAGTCGGGACACGATAATCCGACCCTTAACAATCCAACAGCCTTGCTATCCGATATAAAAGAAGGTTTTACATTTAGTGATCATCGAGTCACGACTGTACTTCAGTTTCCCGTAACAGAGGACGAGTTAATGCTGCTGGTTTTGTCTGGTTCACGTCCACAACAACAAGGTTTCCTCCAGCATCAGTAACGACTGCAGCAGAAACACTGGCAAGGAGAGAAAAGCTCATCTAGAAATACTGAGGAACTGTCTGGAGATAACAGCCAGAGCACCGGGAACACACAACATAACCCTAACCCTAACACACACACACACACACACAGAAACACACACACACACCCACAGCAGATGCAGATGAGAGGAGGATAACAGGCTGGATGAGGGAATACAGGATGTGACTCAGGGATGGAAGGAAAAAGCTGCAGAAAGGAAAGAAGACAATGGAGCCGAGTAAGACAGAAGAACAACAGAGCAGAGAGGAAGTGGGAGACGATGTGGGTGAAGGAACAGCAGGATGTGTGGAAGGTTCTCATCTCGTCTGAAGATCAAAGTCTTGTTCTCTTTTCATGAATGATGCATCTGTGCTGATAACTGAGGACTAAAACAGGTGGATGTCAGGAAACAAGCATCGCTCTGACCTCTCCAGACGACTCGGGTCGCAGGACAGGGGGTGTGTTCCCGGCTTGCTATTGGTCAGCGCCTCCCAGATGGTCACCTAGATACAGAGGAACAGGAAGTCAGAGAGCGAGCGCAGGAAGTGGACGGACAGCAGACGGGCCGTCCTCCCTCCCTCCTTCCTGTTGATGTGCCAAAGCAGCTCTCAGACACAGAGACAGCTCGCTGGCTGGATTATGAGTTATGTGTCGAAGCATCGATCCTGGCTCTGCCTCTTTACTACACACCCAACATCTAGAGCTGCTGTTAACACTGAGAAGAGGCACCTGCTACAAATTAGGCATCAGCTTCTTAACACTATTGTTCATCACATCAGCTGGTGCTGCCGTCGCATTCAACAGCACAATGTACATTTTCTGATTTATTTTCTACCCTGGGCTAAGTTACCAACCCCTGGGCCCCAGGATAAGGTGGTAGTTTGACTAACTTGTTTCAAAAGGCTGCAGGGACTCTGGAGGCTGAGCTGCTGACGGCATCTATGTACTATAGTCAAGTTCTCAGGTACCTTTATCACTGAGATGATGACCACTGGTGCTCACCTGTCATCTTTGCTATGTTCCATATTATCTGCCCAACATTAATTACCTTATTGCCACTGAAGCTCATGTACACATGCAACCTGTAACCTGCATTTTACTCATTCTGTGGAAACAAACGTCGCAGAAAATCAAACTTTTCTCTAAATGAGCCTGTGTGCCGGAGTCTTTCTGAAGCCTTTGGATGTGCTCGTCCCTCCTCCTGGCTCAGGAAGCACATGAAGCAATATGACGCTCATGAAGCTCATGAGCAAAGAGTCTGAATAATTACAAGTCACCCACAAAGCCTAATAAGATAAGATAAGATATGCCTTTATTTATCTCACACTGGAGAAATTCACAGTGTTGTCAACAGCATGTAATAAACATGTAATGCTGTGGTACACTGAGCTGGTTCCTTGTTTTGCCCCATTTGAATCCCGTACCTACACTGTGGCTTTAATATCGTTTATGCTTTTACTGTTTCCGTGAGTTGCCTCTCTGCATGCTGCCTGTTCAGCTTCCTGCCTCAGGACCAGATGAGCAGAGAATGAAAGGACATCAGAAAAGATCAACAGCTGAGTCCTGGTGGTTTGGGCCTCAGTCTATTTCAGTGGCTCTCACTCTTCGCTCCTCTGCTTTTCCAGGCCTTTTGTTTACAACGTAATTACTTTTGCTTTATCTTTAGTTTGTAATAAAGTGAAGCTGTTGGAGGTGCCCTGATGAAGGGGAAGGGTGTAAATGTCCTGGCTGACTTCTGCTCCATGTCCCTCTAACCTGCTGCTGTCCAGCACAGGCATGAATGTCCCCCAAGAGGTCAGAAACTTTAACTAGTTTCAACCTCACTTATTTGTGTTTCTCACTTTTGATCCTGACTGTAGACCAGGTTGTGGGTTCAGGCGACAACAGACAACTTCTGCCAACTGATGCTATTATTATGCATGAGGGAAGTTAATTTTATTTTGAAAAGCCAGCATATTTCACAAACCCTAATCAGTTCCTTTCAACATCTCTGAGCTTTTACTTTGAAAGTGTAGCGTGCTTCACATAATCCTGTTGACTCTTTGTAAATACAAGTGTTTAGAAAAACACCCAGGGGTTCGGAGGGTTCCCTTCTTCTCATGAAGGACACGAAACCTCTCAAGAAGCTTCACTGTCTGCCGCTGTGTCCGAACTCTACCGGGAAAATGAAGTTGCAACTTACTGAAAAAACTAAAAACCAGAATCCCTGTGAACGCTCGACCTGGCAAAACAAAAAGAGGAAGCAGAGCAGGCAGAGAGGGAGGGAGCTCTAGAGGGTTTAAAATGTCTCCTGTTACGGAGTCACTAGTTGTATTTCTGTAAGTTTGATGTCACATCATGGTGAATCATTTCAGCTTTATTTTGACAGAGCGCTGACATCCAAAACCCGGACGTTAAACTCAAACAACCGCTTCAATCCAAGAATCCACAAAAAACACAAAATCCTCCTCCCATCTGTCCTTATTGTCTCTCAAAGAAAATAAAGGTGTCTGTGATCAGGTGACCAACAGCTCTGCCATCTGAGTCAGAATGTTGGGGAACCTGCACTAGTCGATGTGTGGATGACCTCCACCTTCAGCTGGAGTCGCAGTGCACACCTCCACCAGTTCTGAGTGACTCACGTATTTAAAAACCCGCCTTATTTTACATGTCGGACCAAAACACATCTCCCAGCCTTCGTCTTTAAATAAACTTTCACAACATTTAAAGTCGCTTTCACGCTGTAGCAGAATTAGAGCAAACTGTGAATGAAAGCGGAGAGATGCCAGCGCTGCGGCGTGTTTCAGGGGACGACAGGCGGCTGTACAGAAGTTGATGCTGTAAAACACGCAGCGTCAGCAGTGTAATCCTTCAGCACCTGTCCTGCTTCACTATTAGAGCTGTAATTAAAAGTGTCATCACCTTCCTCAGCTCCCGTCTGAAGCAGCTGTGGAGATGATTGAACAAACTGCAGCATGAATCCTCAGCCCCCGTCTCCTCTCCTCACGCATCTACAGGCAAGAAGCTCTGAGGATGTTCTCTGGCCAGTCCACCAGCCTATTTATACCTCTGGACGCAGGCCAAGGTCTGTGAGGACCAGGATCTCTGGGATCTCAGAGCAGCACCTATCCTGAGGCGGCGGTGAATATAATGGGTCTGGGCTCCACACATCACAGGCAATTTATTCTGCTTATTGATTTTACTTCAGTATTGATTGTTTTTATTTTGAAACCGGTTGCTTTTCCCTACTTCAGTGCGTATGTTTGTCTGGTCCTGCTTGACTTATTGCTGAATTTATTGCTGTAATTTGTAGCGGGTGTTTCACAGGGAGCGCTGTCCTCCTCGGTTGATATGGCAACATCACTTTGTGAATCTCGAAAACGTGTAAATCTTCTGCAGGCTGCGCCCGCTTTACAGATACGATGATGGACCACAAGATTAAAACCCCTGACAGGTGAAGGGAGCTGATTGATCACCTCATTACGTCGGCACCTGTCTAGCTGTGGGATACATCACACAGTAAACAGTCAGTTCTTGAAGTTGATGCACTGAAGGCAGGAAAAATGGACAAGTTTAAGGATCTGAATGACTTTGACAAGCGCTAAATTGTGATATAGCTGACTGGGACAGAGCGTCTGACGGCAGCTCTGTGGGCTGCATGTGTGTGCAGCGCTTGGTATCGACCACAGCAGTAGAAAGAGGATGACCAGCGACGGGGTCGTAGGGACACAAGACTCACTGGTGTGTGGGTAGAAACAGGCCCACGTGGTCTGATCCAGTCCTACTGTAGCACAAACTGCTGGAAACCTTAAGGCTGGCTCTGGTAGAAGGTGTCGCTGATGAGATGTGTAGCCACAGGCAGGTCAGACCACCGCTAAAAGCTCCCACAGCTTATAACCGCACAGCGATGGAGGAAGGTGGCCTGGGCTGATGAATCGTGTTTTCTTGTACATCCAGAGGACTGCCAGGTTTACTGGGGAAGGGATGGATGCACTGTAGGAAGAAGGTAGGCCAGCAGAGACCGCTTGATGCTGTGGGTCATGTTCTGCTGTGGAGCCCTGGGCCTGGCATTCACCTGGATGTTACTTTGACACGTACGACCAACACACTGGCTGCAGACCACAAACAATCCTTCATGGCAGTAGGGACCTCCGTTAGCAGGTCAGGGCTCCCTGCGATGCTGCAAAACCTGTTCAGGAATAATCTGAGGAACAAAGAGTTTAAGTTGTTAGCCTCCAAAATCATCAGATCTTAATCTGATCAAGAATCTGTGGGACATATTTGAATTTATTTAACTTGCAGGACTTGAGGGATCTGTTGTTTGTGCAGACTGCGAGGCACCGTGTGTTGACCTTTCTCTTATAGAAAGTTTTTTCTTTTTTCAGTTTGTGCTACAGTAGATGTTCAGAGGGACCAGACCACGCTGTGCACCAGCGAGTCTTCGGCCTCCACCAGGCGTCCTTAGACCACTTCTGTTGGTGCTCTCCTCACACACCCATATGACCCCCGACCTGGAAATGTTCTGACCCAGTTATCTACAAGTCATCAATTGGTCCTTGTTGAAGTCACTCAGATACTTATGCTTGCCCATCTCTCCTGCTTTTAACTTGAATATAAGCACAGAAAACAGCTGATGAACACACCTGACAGGCGCCGCTGTAATGACACTCATTCATTCCCTTCATGTTGTGGTGCAGGCTAAAGCCATACACTATATAAAAGATGGACGTAGCAACCGGCCCTGAAAAATGAAGCCAACCCGGAAGTGTCAAAAACCTGCAATATCACTACGTCCACTAGCTGCTGGCTCCAAAAAG